TTTAGGATTGCTAATGCAAAAAGACCAATATTTGCACAACAAACCCCAAACAAGTGAATCCAGTTTTACTACTACAAGTACCTTAAAATCTTCAAAATTCTTTCAAAAGAAGCTTTTAATGTGCTATGCTCTTTCCCATTGATAAATCCTATTTCTATTTAATACAAACACTTAAAAAAGAAGAATACATTAAGCTCATCACAAATTTAATGAAATTACTATAATCTAATTTAGAAGTGTCATTCATGACTCTGCAGTTTTAAAGAAAATAGGGTTCTGCACCTAACTTTAGATCCAAACTCTGGTATATAGGAAAAAAATCCCTCCCACCATTATCTTATTTACCACTTAAGTATTAAATGAACTCTGAGAACTTACAAGTAAGAGCTCATACTAATTTTAAAATGGGTTTTCACTGAAATTTAGCACTTGGTAAACTTTTTATTTTTTGTTCACTGTATGACCTTAGCAAGGAAACAAGACAGATTAACCAAACAGCTCAAACTGACTAAAACACGGTGGATAGCTTATAACAAGGATTTTTCTGGTTTTTAATTCTTCATAACCAAAAATGTGCTCCTGCAGTATTGTGCTTAAATTGCCATTCCAAAATCTGTTATCACTGAACTATAGTGTCATGTTGCATTTGCAGTTAAAATACTTGGCTGCTGTCAGAAGGATTAAAGGTTTATCTTCATAGGTTGACAAAATAAAGTATTACCATCTATAAATTCTGGGAATTAAAATTTAAGACCACCTGACAGGAAATCCAGATAATTAAGACATGTAACTTGGCTACCCATTGACTGCATCTCGAAGGCCTGTTTTTACCAAACATAAGCAGGATTAGGAAGGCACAATTGCAATTGGCCATGGGATTCCATATCAGTTTTAACAAAAGCCTAAAACTGTTCTTGCCTCCAAGGGTTTTGCATAAAGACTGGTTAATGAACATACTGAACCTATGACTATACTGTCAATATAAACAATACAGCAAGAGTTAAAGCATGTTCATTGTGTTGCGAGACTACCCAGTAATAACAGTGAAGACAAGTTTGGAAAAGAACAGAAATCTCATGCTTTGGGATTTAAAGGCAGTCCATCACCATTTGGGAAGCAATTATTTGAGAAGATTAAATTGCCAGTTCTTGGACCTTTTTATGGGAATTCAGTTGTTGTCCACTGCAAAAGAAAACCTGTTAGAATAGATTAATTGTATACCTGCTAAAGTACAACTAAGTACAACTGTTACTGTGCTCTTAACTGAGGTCTTGATTCCAAAGTTATTAACCTCATGCTATAGAAATTCAATTCAACTCTATGCTTGTTCTCCAAGAAAACCCTGAGCAGTTCTACATGGGAGACATTTTCATAAGGAACAAGTACTTCACATACCAAAAAAAGGTATCTTCATTCTTATTCAGTTTTCCCCAACTGTGTCATCCCCTAAGAAGCACCCTTCTGTAAAAGTCATAAAATCACTGTTTCCTCCTTTTATGTTTCCTCTGTTCAAAATTCTACTGAAATGATTTAAAACATCCTAATGATAAGCTTCTCACTTCTTTTATTAATAGCAGATCTTTCCCCAGTGCCATATTTTAGTTCCTGGATGGTCTGGACAAACACAGGTGAGCCTAAAAATGCTTGCCAGAGTAAAAAAACAATGCATATACAGAGGGAAAATACAAAGAAGCAAACCCAAGGAAATTAGGTCTATCTCAATTAAAATTAACATAGACTTTAGTAGCTTATTCTACTGGATCATGCCTAGTTTTAGGATGATGCTGCTATCTCACACATTCAATTCAACTAATGTGAACTATAATCAATATTTTCACGATTTCCACTTGGATACTCAAATCCCAAAAGCAGCCCCTAGATGCAGCCTAAACTGCATCTCAGCTTTCTGCTGTCACAAAATAGGTAAGACAATATTTCACATTGCTTGAGTACTTTGAAAATGGTGCCACTGATTCATTATTACCGCTATCAACATATAAATTTATCATGCTTAAAACAGGATACAGATATTTCATGTGTAATAGTTTCAAGAATGTTTCATTCTTTCAATACAGAAGATCACATTAATGATTTAAATATAAATGCCAAAAGTAGCTCATCGAGAGCATCTCAGTGTAAAATATTCAGCTTACTTCTGTTAAACTCTAACCTGTATCTCAAAAAGACACTGTGGTCATAAGCAATTTTAAAATGCCACAAAATTGAGAGTTGGTTTTCAGGTGTGTTAACAAATGAAATCAGGTGTGTTACCCTTCAAAACAGTTTTCTCCTAGAGAATTGGATCTGCATTTTCAGTTAAGCAAACCTCCCACAAACTTCAGAAAGGCAACTTATTTACATAAAAACCTGCAGGGAAAGGCCCTTTAATTCTTAAGTATGAGTCAGCTTTTACGTTTCATTTCTAAATGAAGATTTTTATAATCAGCAAAGAAAGGAAAACCAGTCTGAGGTGCTACTTAGGCTGTTAGCCCAGATGCCTCGACTCTGCAGAGAACAAACCAAAACTGCCATTAGCTCTCCTCAGTTCTGCGTGCAGCAGGATGGCAGATCCCTAAATATGCAGCCCATATAACTTATGTAACTGAACGTGCAAATGCCCAATGGAAATACCAGAAGTGCCGCACCACAAAAGCTCGGTGAGGACGGGATTTGGGTTATGTGTGTGCTTCCAATGCGATGCAGACTGACCGAGGTACAAACCGTGGCTGGGCTCTGGCCCCCGGAGCAGGCAGGGGGAAGCTGTGCCTGCGCCAGGCCCCAGTGCAACAGCGCAGGTCCCTCCAGCTCCTGGGGCTTCCTCCAGGCACGCTCCTGGTGCTCCTCAAGTGTGGCAGAGCTGCTCAAGGGGAGCCCGTGGAATAAACACTGCAAGTGTCAGGAGCACATGACCACCAAGTGGTTTGGAAGTTTGCTTTCGGCACACCTTTGTATCTTGGAAAAAGGAAGGCAGTATTTTGTGTACCATAGAGTTCTGCAGTGACATGCATCCATAAGCAAGTGCTGCTGCAAGCAACCCAGAGGTTTCCTACACAAATATTTACTTTGTTGAGAACATTTTAACCTAAGAGCTAAGACAGGCAAATATTAGCTACTGAAATCTTCTTCAAATGACACATTCTTTTACACATATTCCAAGTATGTGTTATCTATCCAAGTATTATCTATTATTCAAGTATTATCTATTATCCAAGTATTATCTATCAGGACATAACACTATCTTCAAGTAATAGAAAGCAAACAAGGGAAATAATGGAGAAAGGGGGGAAAAAATTCATTTCATCTCATGTTCCTTATTTTCACAAATATGCCATACAAAATAGACTATATCTCACTACATACACATCTTTGTCCTTATCACATGACTTAAACACAAAGAAACCAGGTTGAGTTTTAGTTTTACCTAGAAATCTCTGAATGTCAGACCTTCTAATGATATTTTAATGTACCTTGATTGTTTGTGTTATCTTTTTACTGATGTGACAAAAATGGTATATCACTGTACTAAATACCTGGAATTTCACAAAATAGTAAATTTCTGTGTCCCTAAGCACCTGTAGTCAAATCCAAGCCTGGGAAGCAGGTATGATTCTAATGAACTCATCATTGACACTCTATTAAACTATGGAATCATTTGAGTCAAAAAGCTGGAACCTGTTGTGGTTCAGGATGACAAAGAACTGTAAGAAAAAAACAATTAGTATTTTGTAGAACCTATCCAAAGGTCTCTGAGTCTTTAAGCCATAGGGACTCATTCTTCTCCCCTTGAATTCTGCAAGAGTTTGACACCAGCTGTAGCTGCAAGCCAAACAGAACTGGAAACATAATATCTGAGATCAGGGAAGCTGTGTGTTTCACAAGGACCAGATCTGCACACAGAATTCTCACAGGCTTGTCTTGGTTGTTTATATTTCTTTCTTCTTTCCAAAACACAAAAAGAAATAAGAGTTGACAATCATCTAAATTTCAGATCAATTTGTGTCTGATTAATAAAAGCAAAGTCTACTTAATAGGTGGAGTCCATTTACTCTTGGTAAAGCAAATTGTACTAATTAGAAATTCTGGTTTTGAAGCTTCTAATCAAAACAAATAAGCAAACAAAATTTCTAGTAAAGCCAACAGAATTCACATAAAACTGACAGGTAATAGTAAAATACCATAATCTCCTTTTGTATTTTGTCTTCATTACAAAAGTATGATTTTCATATTCCAGAGTTGATCAGAAGTACCAAATAGTTTGTTCTGTTTTACAGGTGCAAGTATTTAAAACCACCACTAAAAGCTTTGTTGCAGAAAACAGATACAAACCAAAATACATACAGGGATATCTTATGCTTTCTATTCATAGAAAATTCCCAACTAAGGAAGTGATCAACACATAAAAACCAGAACAGATTTGGCAACTTTTGGTATTTCTGCTGTCCCACTAAGTTTGCTATCATGCAACCAGAAACTTCAGTACTAATGGTAAACAGCCACCCTGAATCTACCTCCAGCTCCTCACAAATAATTGAAGTCCTGGGTTCAGTAGTCACTGCATTATCTTTTATTTCTAGCTTGTGCCTTTTCCTTAAAATAGGAAGGAAAAGCAGGGAGGATGAGAAAAGTGAGGAAGTAGATGCATACAATTGTCAATTTCTAAGTACTTGTAAATGTTATTGGTACTAACACAAATTGATTTGCTTTCCTGTCCACAATCCTGTCAGGCGTTTGGGGTCCAAGTGTGAACTTGGAATTCAGCCCTGAGTGCTGAAATCAAGATTTCTACGAATTTACTGACCATCCCAACTCTGCAGCAGGAAGCAAAAAGCATCCACTGGATCTCTGTCTTTTCATTCCAAAATCCTTATACAACCACTGCAGTTCTCAAGTAAAACGCTTATTGGTATCATATTACTACCCGCCGCCCCCCCCCACACACACAACCCCCAACCCAGAGCAGCTTTTATTACTTCCATAGAAAATAAAATTACAGCCTTTACCTTGCAGATTTGAAAATAATCTGAAGTGAGCGTCTCCTGGATCTCCTCTCTGGGTGTCCCTGCAGCTCCCGCAGTCCCTCCTGGGTGCACGGAGCCACCAGCCCCACTTCCACTGCCACCGCTACTGCTTCCAACAGGGGATGCGGCAGTTAAACCATCCAAAACTTTGCGAAAATTAAATTTCTTCATTTTGGAAAAATCTTTAGGAAGATTTGGTGGGGGAGAAAGGATGTGTCGTAACACATTCAGCTACATGTAGAGACCGAGAAAGTCTTTAATGGTCCTCTGAGTGAGGCAGCACTTTAAGTCTCTTGCACCAAACAGAATGTCAATATTAGGTATAATTGACTGAAAAATACAAAGGCTTCATTTTGTCAGACGCAAAAGCTACCTGGAATGGTCCTTTCCAAAAATAAATAAATAAATAAATAAATAAATCCACAAGCGGCAAGACTAAGATTTACGTTCAAACAAGGAACAATGGAACAACCGCCATCGGGTTCGCTCGCAAAATCCACATTTAGCAGTGGTCAAAACAGAAAAGTAAACAAAAAATTCAAGCCGGCATCCAAAACAGCGGGATCCATCCCTCTACCTGATCTGCCTAAGATCTGCCTTCGGCACTTGATTATTTCAGCAAAACTACCAAAACGCGCCTACATTCAATTTCCCCTTCCCCTCAAAACCCCTTTGAGCCAGGTATCTCTGACCCCGAGGTTTCCGCGGAGCGGATTCCCCGTTCCCAGCCGCCGGTGCGACTCCTGTCTCTGGTTGCCTGCCCACCCCAGCGAATGCCGGCAGCCGCTGCCGCACTCGGTGCTCCTCTCTCCCCTCGGGCTCCACGGCGGGATGCGGGGTGCGGGATGCGGGGTGCGGGGTGCGGGGTGCGGGGTGCGGGATGCGGGGTGCGAGCCTCCTCCTCTCCCCACGCCCCGGCCGCCGCCCCGCGAGGAGCGACGGCAGCGAGCGACCCCCTAAGCCGGTCCGGCCGTCCCGGGCTGACCACCCGTCCTGTCCCTGCGCTGACGGACCCCCCGCCCGTCCCGATCACCGAGCCTGTGCCGCTGCCGTGCTCTCCCCTCGGCACCGCTCCGGCGGGACCGGGCTCCCTCCGGCGCCGGGGGGACGCGGGGCGGGGAGGGGCGGGTGAGGAGCGGAACGGGGCAGGTGAGCGGCGAGGAGGGCGGTGGTGGCGGCTCCTGCCCGCCTGGCGCGCTCGCAGCCGTTCTCCGAGGTACTGAAAGCTCCGCCGGCGTCAGCCGCAGCTCCTCCTCCTCCTCCTCCTGCTCTCTCTGCCTGCCTCCCGCCCCCGCTCCGGCCGGGCTGTGGGCGGGGGGAGGCGGGGAAACGCCGGTGAGTGACAGGCGCGCGCGGGCCCCTGCTCCCTACTGCGGGCAGCGGCGGGGACGTGACTGGCGGACAGGGGAGAAGGGGCGGTGACTGCGCGCAGCGGCTCCAGGTAGGGAACAAGCGATGTCTAACGGGCCCCGCGATCCGCAGCCTCTGATTGGAGCGCTGCGATGATGGGCATCCGCTTCCACCAATAGAAGCGCAGCTCTGCGACGCCCCGCCCCCAGCCCGGAGGGGTGGGGGTGGCCTGGGGAGCCCCCGCCCCACTGCGGCGCGAGCGGCAGCGGCCGCGGAGCTGCTGAGGGGGAGCAGCCCCCGGGGCAGCGGCGCTGGCGGGGAACGGGGTTTATGGCGCTGGGGGGGACTGAGAGTTGGTGTCGCAGCCTCAGCTGCGTGCCGGAGGTCCAACAGACCCAAAATTCGGTATAAAGTTGTGTCGGGAGTTGGGTTGGATAGTAGGAAAAGGTTCTTCACCCAGAGGGTGGTTGGGCACTGGAACAGGCTCCCCCGGGAAGTGGACACGGCACCAAGCCTGGCAGAGTTCAAGAAGTGTTTGGACAATGCTCTCAGGCACATGGTGTGGCTCTTGGGAACGGTCCTGTGCAGGGCAGGAGATGGACTCAGTGATCCTTGTGGGTCGCATCCAGCCCAGGATATTCTGTGATCCTGGGCAAATGTCCCGGGAGGTCTTGGCGGTGGCAGGGAGCGGTCTTGAGTGCGAGCCCCCGTTTGTCTCCGGGCTCCGAGGGGTTTGTGCGGGTCCTGCCCAGCCCGCGCACTGCCACTGCTTCCTCGGGGGCAAATCCCTGTTTCCTTCCCAGGAGGAATACAAAGCACCCAGGGCTGCCCTTCCCGAGGCTCGCTCCGAAGCCCTGCAAATCGCCTGGGACAGCTCTGTGGCCTCTGAAGCGCGATCCGGCACAGGACGTGTTACACTGCACACAAGCCTCTATAAAAAGGTTATTCAGGTCAGGAACAAGTGAGGCAGCGATTAAAAGTGACTCATGGTACAGCGCTGTCAACGTGGTTGGAAGCCGAGAACGGAATAAAATAGTGTAAGGAATAAGCACATAACACCTCTCCTGTATAGGAATTAACCTGTAACACCTCACCAAAGTGTTGCACATTCCTCACACTTGAGGTGACCAGTGAGTGCATGCTGGTCACCTCATTTCTTCAGATGTTTTAGGGGTGCTTAGGGATTCTAATACCCACTCTAACCTCTGGTTTAGTTTTTATGAATCTTACAGTTCTGTGAAGCAAGATAAAAGTTTTTATTTCAGCAACTTACACTGAGATCCATGCTTCTTTTTTTTTTTTTTTCCACTTTAGCTCATCCTTTTGTGTTCACAGGTACTCCCTATCTGCATGATAAAAAGATTGCAGTAAAGTTCAAAGAATAAGTGTAGCTTCACTTAATGCCCTCATGAAAAATAAAGGGTACATTGCTGATGAAACTGGAAAGGTTGATAGGTTTCTGTAGCGAGGAAAAAAGGGAATATAACTTTGTATGGGAAACAAAATATATGAGGACTATGGCAAGGAGACAGAAATGAAAAAGGGCATGGAACTGAGTAAGCAAATCTGTAAAGATAAAAGTACGGAATTTTGAAGAATGAGGAAAAGTCAAAACCCAGTTGAAGCTATTTGAAGAATGTCCTGTCCTACTAATACTATGTTCACCAGAGGCAATGCAAGTAAAAAAAAATAAGGCTAACAAAACCCAAAAGAAAGATAACGACATGAATTGTAAATAGGAAAGGGAAAGATAAGGTTAAAATGAAATAATTAGGATGAAGAAAATGTCACAGAGACTTGAAAAAAAGTGTCTGGGAGTCAGGGGGTACTACAAAAAAAAATCTGATAACACAATAGTTTTACAGTTCTAGGGAGGACAGAGATAAGACAGTTTGTTTTAAGTCAAGAAAAGGATGAAAATTAGAAGAATGAGTGATAACTTTGGAGTTGGAATAAGGTACAGACATTTTTTGAATGCCAACAACATTTCTCTTCCAGAGAATTGCTATGGAGAGCTGGGTATTGATGATTAGATACTACCTCAGAGTATCCAAAAGGGCGAGCAAGGATCCTCACACTGCCAGTGTGCTGTTAGGAAAACTGACTTGTAGGGGAAAAAAAAACCAAAACAAAAACAAACTGACGAATAAAATACAATCAGTCCTGTTTATAAATACCAGCTGAGAACAAAACTTGGTCTCACTACTGGTGCATGTAAGGCATGCATGTCCCCTTTGAAAGTTTTTCTCTAAGCTGGACACAAACCCAGAAGCAGAGGGGAAGTGATGGAAATGAGAGTTCTGGGGTGGTGCAGAGGGAGACAGGACAGTGCAGGACATGGGCAAACTCGGTAACAGTTTTGACAGGCACAGAAAGGAACCCTGTTGAATGACCACATTGATGAGAAGTTTTGTTGTATAACAACAACAAAAAAAGGGAACAATTTGGTTTTGGCACAGTAAAAAAAAAAAAATTGCCTTTTTTTTTTTTTTCCCAGTGCAGAAAAAAGCAGTGGACACGAGGCATTCTATTGCTGACTTGTACTGATTTAAATGGTATTGGTGTTTCATAGGATACTTGTGATATTGCCACCATGAGTTTTAATAAAAGTTGATAAAATTAGGAAACTGTGAAAATATTTTACATATTAAATTGGTAAATAAATGAAGTTAAATAATACATGCCAGTGCATTGTGGGAAATATGTATCTGAATCTGTATTTTAGATAGTAATGAGAGGGTATTCTCTTCAGTGTCTTTTTTCTGAATAGTATCTTTTACATTTAGTAGTCATTTTGTTCTGCAAGGTCAAACCAAATGTTAAAAGGATAACAGTTTACTACAAAGATTTTGCTGAGAAACAAGATTTTTAACAGTCCACACCATCAAAATTCATATGAACTTTCATTCTGATTTTTGCTTAATGAAGCTTGTGATTATGTGCAGTAATTTGAAAAGACTGGTCAGAATCAAACCTGGCAATTCAGTCTTCTCTCAGTCTTCTCTCAGTCTGATTCAAGAACTGATCAAGAAAATGAAGAATCAGGAAAGATGTGCTTAGATCAGCTGACTAGAAAGTGATAATATTAGAGATTGTATATGTTTTGATCATTAATGTTCTGGTCAGTTCTCTGGCTTTCTTGTTTATTTTTTTTAATAGAAAATACTTCTTCAGCCTGTGGACTAGAGTGTCATGACTTTTCAAAGCTGCAAACATATTTTAATCTCAAGTTATATTTTTGGTAGTTAAGAAAAAATACATGCAGAAGTGTGCAGTAAGTGATGGTTTCACAGTTGACACTTTTTAAGTGATTTATGTGAGTCCCTTTGATAATCCATGTGTTAGCAGTTAAAAGCAATAACCCTTGAGAGAAATCACTGTATGCCCACCAGCAGCAGTCTAGACCACAGCCTTGCAACTACACCCTGACAAAGAACTTCTGTGCCTCTAGAGAAATGAAGGAAAAAGATGTAATCAAATACCAGAAACACATCTATGCCAATGCAGGCAAAATTGAGACTTTGCACAGCTACCTATTCCTCATTACACTGTGGGATATTTGCCAGTGTTGCCCATGTTTCTGTGTAATTCCAGAACATTGAATGGCAGGCAGCAAGCATAGTGTTCCTGCCTGCAGAGCTCCACTAAAAATATCCCCAGTCGGTGCTGAATATCTGGTTAGAACAGCTTGCTGAACTCTATCAATTAGCCAGATCTTAATCTATTTAATGTGTTTTATTAAGGCTATATAATGCTAATGTTTTAATCAAAATGTCAAGTAGTACTAAATCAGATTCATTAGGAAGGTCCAAGTCTATCACATCCATGTGGTTACCTTGATCAAACAAACCTGTAATCGCATCAAAAACTGAAGTCAGGTCTGCTTGTCAAGTCTTGTTTCCATAAGGCCATGTGGACTTGCTTTAACTCTTTATTGATTGAATCACACATGCATGACTGCTTTAATTTACATAACATGACTGTTTTGTCTAGAAATACCAAGGATGCCGGGTCTGTTATTACTTTGGTCATTCTACTTGATTCTTGGAATAACATGAGCTTTCCTTTCGTTCTTTGAATATTAGCTGTAAAAAGAGCTGTTAAAAATTAACATAAGAAGGCTGTAAGTCTCCTACTCTTTAAGGATCTTTGGATACTCAGGTGCCATAGAGACTGCTGATTGAAAAACAGCAGTGCCATTCTCATCCTACAGAGGTGTCAATGGATAGAAAGATAATTCATCTTCCTCATGTAATATTAATACATTATAATTTTTCTTTCTTTTCAGAAGTACAGGATAGAAATATTTACCATAAAAATGAGATCTTTTATGGATGCTCGGAGACCAGATTTCTTAATGAAGAAGCTGTGGAATGTGTCTGTACAAAACTGAGAAGGTAATTTTGTAATAAGGACTCCATTTTGTGCAGTAGGCAAAGTACAGGTGTAAATTAGCCCATGGGAAGAGTTCCCCATGGATAAATCACCTCAGCTTGAGGTGATCTGTTCTCATTGCTGTTGAAAAGGAAGGTCCTGCACCCATATGAGCTCTTGTGGGGGTTTTGTCCCTTCAGCAATGCATTCATTTGCTAGGAAAGTCAATAGTTTTATCTGGGGCTAATGAGCTGGATTAGCTCTGCACAGAGTCAGACAAGCCCTAGAGGCACTGCAAAGAAAAGCAGAGCCACCGACCTGGACAGAAAGATGATGGTAGTCCCACTTCTGTTAAATGGGGTTCAGTTTAAGTGTATACTAAAAATTCGTTATGATGGTGGCCTATTGAGCTGCATTCCAAATACATGCCCTGCTCAGGAAGGGCTGCATTTCTCAGTGAAGAGATGTCACAAGCCACCTGAACAGCAGCTGGGGGCAAAGACACTGCCCTGTTGTGACAGAGCAATGGGAGTTTTTGCAGAGGGCTCTCCCTAGGCTCTGGGACTCAACCTAGATTTGGTTGCTCTGAAGCAGAGACCTTTTCTAACAGGTTGTGCGGTCCAAGGTGTTACAGAAACCATAGAGGAGCTGAAGCCTTAGGGATTGCACAGAAGTAACTTGTTTTTTTACTATAGCAAGTCTGCAAATATCTGGGATGTCAAATTGAGATAACTTGGTTTCTAGTCAAGACAATGTGGGGCCTTGCCTGGGAGACACAAGAGGTCAAAG